AGCAGGCTTCCCACGGAGCAGGGAGCCCGATGCAGGGCTCAATCCCAGGACCCTAGGATCATGACCTGAGCCAAAGGTAGAAGCTTAACGACTGAGCCACCCAGACTCCCTGGACACAGTGACATTTCAAAGCCAGGAGTTTAGAAATTCTGATTTCACTTCAATCTGTATTCATTCATTTAAGAAGCATTTGCCAAGTGCCTGTTACGTTCAGGTGCTATATTGTTAAGGATAGCACAGATTATTGGGGGGCATATGTGTCCCCACATATGCATAAGACCACTCCAGAGTTCTCTGTGGGCTTAGACAATTCCAACGCTAGGTTTTCAAGCTTAAACTCCAATGATTAGATTTGTTTATCCATAAGTATGTATTTTCTTCAAGTTGGAAAGGGAATTTCTTTCCATTTTGTAGTTTTAAAGGTGCTCATAATTTGTTTGATGTGTTTTTTGCAGTGTCCATATATGGGATTTGGTTTTACGATAAGGAAGAATGCCAAAGAATTGCAGAGCTTATGAAAAAGTAGGTGCTGAAAGGCTAAGTATTTTTCTGGACATGATGCATTTGTTTGTGTTTCTCAAGAGTAACTCCACTATATTTTTAGCAGACTGTATCTCTTACAGCAGCCCTTTCCTCCATGGCTAGGAAAACATTTACTATTACTTAAATGAAAAATAAACATAGTCACAACTTTTTACATTTTCACTAGGTAAGGTTTATCATGTAGAATAGTTCACCTCATTTTTGTTCTTCACGGGTGAAATATCTATAATATGAATTGTTCCAGATGGCAGTTTTCTTCAATATTTTCCTCATTTGTAAATTAGCAGGGCTTTTTTTCTCTGAAAAGTCATCAGTATAGCTTTCAGTAAAAAGAACATTCGGAATATTTTAAAGGCTGCTACACATTCTCTAAAATCTTTCATTTTCTTCCCACCCTAAACGCTTTCCTTTAACTGCATTTCCATGGTTGTGGAAGCTCAGAGTTTCCTCACATCTCAAATGCTGTGAGTACTTAGGATAGACTTTATTTTCAATCTTACTGGAAATTTTGGAGTTAATATTAGTTTAGTGATTGGTAGGCAGTCCCTTTTTTTTTTTGCTGCTAGTCTCTTTTTCTTTTAATCTCTTGATACCTTGTGGTTTGTCTCACCTGCGTTTTGGGAAACTTAAATCAGGGTCTGACTGTCCTACTCTTGGCCCCCTGACTGCATTGAAAGGGAGGCCCAGGTAAGCGTGCTGTTTCCTCTGTGACTGGTCAAATCCTTGATCAGTTCTTGAGCCCCAAGGCTGCTCCCTGTGACGCAGTATTTCCCTGCTTTATGGGGATGGTTTAGAGCCTCAGAATGAAATACGTTTCCTACACATGCTGTGTCCCGGCCGGTGACTGGGCTCCGCCAGACACACAGTATGGCTTCTGCCCACGCAAATCTGACAACACGTCTCCATCTGTGAAAGGACTGGTTTCCAATTTTAAATCCTGGGGCAATGAAATGACTAAAAAGTGACCCCCAAAAATGAAATGTGTGGGACACTTTTTTATAAATAGATTTCTGAAAATCTAGCTTGCGATAGCTAATTGTAGGTAACCAGCTCACGTTGCAGATGGTGATTAAGTGTGTTCAAAATGGTATTTACCCCCATAACAACTAGTTCCTAACACATTCATGTTATTGTAAACTGTACAACGGATAATAATAGCAGGATTTCATATAGATGAAAAAATACCCTGTGGCTCAGCCAAGAGACCGTGCTCAAATTGTTAGCATTCTGCAGTAATTACTTAACAGCTGGGGCAGGAAATTGATTGTTGACTAGCAATAAGCAGCTGATATGTGTGGATTCTGAGCCCTTCCTCAGTTAGAATTAAATCTCCCAGTAAGTTCTCAGATGTCTTTTACCATAAATGGCATGGCCGTTATAAAAATTTGAGCTGAAAGTCAAAGCACACAAAAGGAAAAAGTATTTTTCTTAATGTCCCCTGGCACCATATAGGAGCCATCTGGTCTCCCTCCTGTATTTTTTTCAGGAAAACGGAAGACACTCTTCATTGCTCCGTTTTTGGGTTTTTTTGTTTGTTTGTTTGTTTTAATGCCCCCTCTTCTGGAATGGAATCTTTCTTGTTTATAAATTGCCAGAGGACTATAGGATTTGAGTTGCTGAGATCAATTTTGCTTTGACTACAAGGCACGTTGAAACAAGGAAGGGGGCAATCTCTATTTGCCATGAGGTTTGCTCAATGTTTGAGAACTCTAAATTGGGTTTCCTTAGTAATTAATGAGTCCTTTCAAATGCTTTAAATGAGGAGTTGGCAAACTTTTTCTGAAAAAAAAAAAACAAAAAAAACCAAAAAGTATTTCAGGCCTTGCGAGACCATAGGTCTGTGTAACAGCTACTCAGCTCTGCAGTCATGGTGTGAAAGCCGGCCTTAAATGTAAATGATACAAAAACCAGTGAGTGTGGCTGTTTGTAACTTTCTTTACAAAAACACATGGTGTGCCGGATTTGGCCTGCAGAACATAGTTTGGCCACCCCTCCTCTGGGTTCATACATGTACTCACTATACTCAGGACCTCAACTCTTGTTTTTCTTCTTTCACTTCCTAAGCAGTCTTACTTCTACCATGACTATAACAAGATAAAAGCAAGTGGGGACGCCTGGAGGCTCAGTCAGTTAAGCGTCTGCCTTCAGCTCAGGTCATGATCCCAGGGTTCTGGGATCAAGCCCCACATCATCGGGCTCCTTGCTCAGCGGGGAGCCTGCTTCTCCCTCTCCCTCTGCCTGCCACTCTCTCTCTCTCCTTCTCTCTGTTTCTCTGACAAATAAATAAAATCTTTAAAAAAAAAGATAAAATCAAGTGGGTGGGAATTAGATGGTTTTAAAAGCCATTTGTATTGAGTTTGTTTTTCTTGTGTGGATTTTCCCCTCTATTTTTCTAGCCTAACTCAATATGAACAGTTGAAAGCCCATCAGGGAGGTGGAGCAGGAAACTCCCCAATGATCCTCAATTCAGGAGAGGGCAAGGAAGTAGATATCTTACGAATGCTCACCAAGGCCAAAGATGAATACACCAAGGTGAGTTTTTGTCTTCCTTTGTGAAACATACTTAAATCCTACAGTGGTAATATGCTTGTGGAAAAAGAGTGAGTGCTATTCCTTCCACCAAACAAAATCAAATGAAAAATTAAATCTCTGTTTGCTTTTAGCAGGCTAATGAAGACCATTTGTTTTAAGTGGATTAAAACGTAGCCTAAGAAATCAGCAGCCTTCCTATATACAAAGAATATCCAATCAGAAGGTTAAGTAGAAGACCCCATTTACAGTAGCAACTATTAATATAACATTCTTTGGAATAAAATTAGCAAGAAATGAGCAAAGCCTATATGAAGAAAACTTTTAAACACTCCTGACAGGCATAAAAATAGATTTGAACAAATGTCCTGATCTTAGATAAGAAGATAAAACTTAAAACTCTCACTTCTGTTTAATCTGCAAATTTAAGATGATTCCTAAACAAATACAGACTGGTTTCTTCTTTCCTGGAGCCACACAAGTTGAATATAAGGTTCATATGGAGAAATATACAAGAAAGAATAGCGGGGAAAACCTTGACGAACAAGAGCAATATTGGAAGGGAGAGAAGGGGGAGCAAGCTCTACATAGCTGATATTAAGGCATTAAAGCCTAAGCACTTAGAACAGTATGGCTTTGATGGTATCAGTGCATAAGCAGCCAGACAGACCAATAGGACAGGTGGGAAGGTCCAAATGACACCCCAGTGTATATGAAATTTAGGATGTGATAAAGATGAAAGTCTCAAATCAGTTGTTTGAGTGGATCTTTAAATAAATGATATTGGGACAAGTGATAGCCATTTGGAAAAATAGAAAATTGGACTTGTACCTTATACCAGGATAAATTCCAAATGTATTAGAAATTTAAATATTAAAAATAAAACCAAATACCAGAAGAAAATTTATATGGATTTCTTTGTAATCTGGAAAGGGGAAATCTTCTAAACTCTGCCTTAAAACCCAAAAGCAATTAATTCAACTACATAATAATAAAAAACTAAATGTTTTACCTGGTTCAAAAAAAACACAAGCGAAGTGAAAAGATATATAAAACTGAGAAATATTTGTACCTAAGTAATAGGAGGAGGGTGAATTTCCCAATTTTATAAACTGCTGTTATAAGAATTGAGAAGTAAAAGATTAACACTCTCTGGAAATATGGGAAAAAAGAAAATTAAGGAAAAAAAGAAAATTAAAACCTAGAATTTATAAACTAGCTGAAATAAGTGTACATAACTGAATATCATATTATGACATAATTACTTAGAAAAGAAATTGGGGAGTGACTTCAGAACCCCATATTTGGACTGAGCACCCTTAGAAAAAAAGAACTGCAAAGAAATTATAAATGTCATTCCGTGGTTTCATTGTTAATGGTAATATTGGCATTGTAAGTTTTCAGCTGTTGTGGATATAATAAATGAGTATGTTTATGCGGTCAGAACAAAACCTTCAGTGTAAGAGAAAAATATTAAGTTAAAGCCATTTAATGTTAAATTTTAAGTGGAAATGTTTCTTAAATACATAGTTACTGACTTTTTCCCTGAAGAGACCTAGAAATAAGTGACAATGCAGCAGCAACAAGCACTTCTGGCTCCCAGATTATTATTATCCGCCCCGCAAAAGGTATCAGGGCTCTTTTTTTTTTTTTTATGTTATGTTAATCACTATACGTTACACCATTAGTTTTTGATGTAGTGTTCCATGACTCATTGTTTGCATATAACACCCAGTGCTCCATTCAGTATGCCCTCTTTAATACCCATCACCAGGCTAACCCATCCTCCAAACCCCTCCCCTCTAGAACTCTCAGTTTGTTTCTCAGAGTCCATAGTCTCTCATGGTTCGTCTCCCCCTC